TCCGTTTCCATACTCTCGCGAGTAAAGGCCTGCTTTTCGGGGTTCCCAGTGGTCGTTTGGGGCATACTTGACCGAGGCGCTTCGGGTTGGACGAGTTGACCCCGCGACGCCGTCGAGCGAGTCTTCGTAAGGTGGAAATTTGTCTACCGGGCTACTCGTTGATTGAAATGCGGAAGGTTTGGTTGGGATATGCAACTCGGCCTGGCGCATAGAGGCGCGTCGCCCATGACCAGTTACTGTGGTTGTGGCCATCTTCCACGACTCGGAACGTCCGCACTATCTTCAGAGACGTCAATTCCCCGGACCCTCCGAAAAGAACCCGCATTTGGTGTCACTTACCCGAGAAGGGCGAGAAAGCAGTTGCGTAGAGGCAATCCGCTCAATGGTTTCCGGTGAGGATATGTGTCCGCTTCACTAATTAATGAAGGAAAAAGGGCGGCTTGGTTTGCCGGTTTATCGATGACGAATCTCCTTGGGCGAATGAGCGTCGAGTACAGAAACACACTTTCAGCGAAGCTCAAGCGATGAAATGAAATATGAATATACCTAATGATATCTAGGCATATGTCAGACAAAGGAATTGTTGAAAAAATATTAGTTTTGAGAGATGTCCTCATAATAACCTGCACGGATAGAGATGCAATTTGATTTCCATGTGCTCCGTACCGCCACTTACATTACGGGAAGGGTACAAGGTTCCAAATGTTGATCATGGCGGAGGACACAGAGTATCTGCAAGCGCAGGTATCTGGCTATTCCTATTGCATCATAATCTCTACTGTTGATTTTTTTTTCTAACATTCCCTTCCTCTTTTTCGATGATAGGCAATCTCCCTTGTTCCGTCTTCGTATGTGTGCTCTTCGCCATTACGCGTCATCTGGGTCACGTGGCACGGACCCTGATCTTGATCTTCAGCGTCTTGGCTTTGGAAATTAAGACGATTAGCTCCAATAGACGGAGTGATGTATAAGAATCCGTAGCTGGTTGCTTCTGCAGCCTCTGTCCACGACAATGCAAGGCCATATTAATCTGATACATTTAGCCCAAGATGATAGTAGATGGTGGTTAAATCCAAGAGATTTTATTGATTAGAAAAATATCCAAACGGTCTTTTCCATGCAGATGGTTTAAAACTTCCAAAAATACAGGTAGATAGAGATTGATTTAGATATACGTGCACTGAATGGATTTAATTCTAAGATACTTTGGTAAGGATCTGCCATAGTTACTCATGCTCTGTACTATACCCTGTATGATAGATACTAGGAGCTGTGATGTTAGATGTCTCCATGAGTGAACCCGAGGGCCAACTATGCCTAATTGGGTAGTCCATACAAGTACATTCATATGGAAGGTTCTCTTCTGATGCGCCTTCCTCGGTCTCTTGTTTCCCTTTCTCTGTTCTCCCTCTCCCCTTTCAATCGCACATCTCAACTTCTTCACCCATCCTCTAGCCCCAATCTTGTCTCTTCTCACCACCCACTACTTCCTCATCTTCAAAAGTTCCCTTATGTTTACCATCATCTCGCAAGAATCTGCTCGGAATCCTTTTCGTTGCATGTAAACTCACTTGGTTTCCAACGAGCCTGTTTGTCCACACCCTCACACAGCGACTTCATAGCTTTTTTTTCCCTCATCTGTTCGTTTCCGTCTCTATCTCTGTGTTTGTTTCTGTTTCACCTTTAATCTCTTCCAGTTGACAACATGTCTACCCTAAGCGGACCTTCAAAACTTGGTCGAATGGGGAATGGAGGACGTTTTACCTCCAATAATGCCATTGATGTGCGGAATCCCTCTTTTGGACACGAATCCTCGGTATGCCTCGGAAGGACAACCTTGAATTAAATTTCTAGCACACTAACTACATTGGTCGTGGCAGAGCCTCCAGAACTCGATAACTCATTACGGCTCTTTTGATGCGTCTGAGACATCCCGACATGGAAAGTTAGAGGCCTTGCCTGGTGAAGGAGCTGAGCATTCGGCGAGCAAGGTGTGTGTTTTCTGTGGTATTGGTTCACGTCTGTGTGTGCCTGTGGTCTCACAATCCCAGAAGCAGAAGCTAGATCATATCAAAGTTGAACCTTTGAATGGACAAACATCGGATCTTGACAGAATACTGGTAAAGATTTCCCCCAAAACAATCCCCATTCCACGTTCTGAGACCGATCGCTCTTCTGGTTCGTCCCAGATCGCCCCGGCCACAACGGTGTCAACTTCAACCCTCACTAAAACCACCAATCCTTACCCTCAGGAAGACAGGACGGTAGAACTGCTTCGCCTTAAGCAGGAACTCCTTGCTGCAAATTCCAAGATTGCTCTACAGGAGCAAGAGCTTGCCCAAACCCGTGTGATAAAGCATACATTGGATCAAGCCCTTGGTCCGTCATCAGAGGCTGATTTCAGCAGCCGCGAAATTACAGAGCAGACCATTAGCCACCTACAGAGTGCTTTTAATGCATCGAGCTCTGCATTTGCTCAGTTTCAAGATGCGTGGGGTGCCCAAGACGATTCGCAATCTGATATCTCGGATCCATTATCAACCGGAGCCTACAACAGATCTCGCGCGCTTTGGGCCCACAATGAGCCTAACGCAGACAGAGAATATGGAGAGAGTCTTTCGGGCACTAGCAGCTCTACAAGTCAGGACCCAAGTCGGTTCTGGGGAGTTTCCAATGCGTATCCTCCGTTTGCCGGTCCACCATCTCTGCAATCACAAAGACCACACTTGGGGTCTTCGGCGAGTTCTTGTGGATTCTACTCACGCCCCATTGGCGAACAGATGCTGTATCCCCAAGCACCCATTACCGGGGCTCGTCGCTCTATCACCCAAAGCAGTAGGGGTGGATCTCTATTTCCAATTCAGTCTACCCCGTGGGGTGAATTTGTTTCTGGGTCCTCCGGTGAGCAGCCCACCAAGTCATCTGCTTCGCCGAAGAGGCCCCCCAGCGCATTTCAGCAGGTTGGACTATACTCTGTGCCCTCTTACCCCCCTCGACCAATTGGCAGCCCCCTCTCGCCTACTGCTACTGAATTTACAGGCACCAATGCGAATGAAACTATATGGAACAACTCGGTAAGAGACAAAAATGTGAGTCTTGTTTGCATCCAGTCTAACCCATGTCAGATGAGTGGCAATTCCATCCAGACGTACGTGTCACCGCTCGAACCACTCAACTACCGACGCCTGCTTGACAAAAATGTGTCGTGCGATTGGAAGTACATTGTAGACAAGATCATCTGCAACAATGACCAACAAGCTTCAATTTTCTTACAACAAAAGCTGAAGGTCGGCACAACTGAGCAAAAGTTCGACATTATCGAGTCAATTGCGCATCAAGCCTATCCACTCATGGTCAACCGCTTTGGAAATTTCCTCATACAACGCTGTTTTGAACATGGAACTCCGGAGCAAGTCGTCGCTATCGCGAATGCGATCAGAGGCAACACGCTAAACCTCAGCATGGATGCCTTTGGCTGCCATGTGGTCCAAAAGGCGTTCGACTGCGTTTCAGAGGAGCATAAAGCTATCATGGTACATGAACTTCTCCGCAGAATTCCTGAGACGGTGGTCCATCGATATGCCTGCCACGTTTGGCAGAAACTGTTTGAGCTCCGGTGGAGTGGCGAGCCTCCGCAGGTGATGGCTAAAGTAAATGAGGCATTACGTGGAATGTGGCACGATGTTGCCCTTGGAGAGACAGGAAGTCTGGTTGTCCAAAACATCTTTGAGAATTGTGTGGAGGAGGAAAAGGTGAGATACTTCGTTAACCTGATCCGCTGCCAGACGCATCAAGCCTTTTCTCTCGCTATCCTGCTTATTTTGTTGATCCTTTATATTGATTGTATCAATGCTAACTTTTTATAGCGACCGGCAATTGAAGAAGTCTTGGCGAAGATCGATGTACTCGCTCGTGGTCAATTCGGGAACTGGTGCATCCAACACATCTGCGAGCACGGCGCTCCCCACGACAAGAGCCGTGCCGTTGAGCATGTTCTTCGCTGGGCTGTGGATTATAGCATGGATCAATTCGCATCTAAGATTGTGGAAAAATGTCTCAAGATTGGCGGCACGGAGTTCATGGATCATTACCTCTCTCGTGTCTGCACTGGCCGATCTGACCGACCTCGCATGCCATTGATCGATAGTAAGCTACCCAGGCTTTGACACAATGAGAAGATATTGATTTGCTTTTAGTAGCGGGTGACCAGTATGGAAACTATCTCATCCAATGGATTTTGATGAATGCCGCGCCTCACCAACGGGAGCTCGTGGCCAGTCACATTCGGTACTACTCCCTGGCAGTTCATTTTCTACTCTGAGTGGTCTGAAGTCTAACCTAATTCAACTAGGAAACATATGGTCTCCCTTCGTGGCTCCAAATTTGGCTCTCGTGTGGCTATGCTTTGCTGCAACCCGTCTCACGCTACTCGTCCTGGCCCTGGGGCCGGAATGCAAGTCGGTCGTTTCAACAATTTCAATGAAGACAAATTCGCCACCACAAGCCAGTCCGGTGGTGGTTGATTCGGCCGTGGACATCAGTGGGGACCCCATTATGCGCCACTTCATTGACTTTGTCTATTGGTACATCATCTTCACTTTTATCGCAGTTCAAACAAAAGGAGAAAAAAAAGAAGAGCCCCCCTCCCCCCAGAATCAACAAAGAAGAAAATGCATCATTCCAGCATTTCACCCTTTCTGCCTCCTGAAAGACAGTCTTGTCTTTGCCGGATTTCCTGACCGTGTATTATCAATATCTGTTGACCCAGCTCCAAATTACCCAATCATTTCCGTGTTTCAGTATTGGGAGTTATCACTGCTTGCCGATTTATTCATTTGGCTTGCTATCCCCAGTGGCTATCATCCCATTCAATCGTATAGATTGAAGCTTGGGGCGTGTCACGTTAAATTTTCTTGAAGAAAATCATATTGTTATTTTCCAAATTCTATTCCATTCAAAATTTTAATCCATGATCAAGCTCAGGTAGATAGAACAGATTTTCAGGGAGCAGCGCTTGCAGTTTCACCAGAGGTATTCACAACTTGATCCTTCTCCCATGGTTTCCGCCGCCGTGGTTTCTCGCTGGAAACATCGTGGCCACTGAGCACTGTGTCTGGGATGTCTTGGATCCCAGGTATTGGTTGCCCAGTAGTGATAAGTTCCACAATGTGCGCAAACGATGATGGATAAGCAGGTTCGGGATTTGTTGAGATTTCAAGCCCAGATGTGCTTGGGTCCGATGCGTCGGAGACTTGCAAGTCTGAATTGCCTAGCCCTTGGTGCTCTATTGTCCGCGCAGCCAACCATGATTTGAACGCAGAAAAGTCAATAGCCGGTGTGAGCTTTTCTTTTCTATACTCGGGTTAGTACCCAACGCATTCTACGCAGGTATTCCCAGCATACCGTGAGAAAAAGAAACACTTCGCTTGCAGGACAAGATCGTCATCCCGATTCATCTCCACCTCGGTGGCGGGGGTGTTGGGGTGACCAAGTATTACTGAGAGGCCATTTGCAAACTCGGGGTCCGATGTGAACGAGTAAGATTGAAGCCTTTCAAAGACCTGAGCTCCTGAGGGCGGTGCCATTGTCTGATGATGAATACATAAAGGTCTGGGATGCGGAGGGTGCGTGGGGCTATCTAATCTAAGCTGACTAGCCCGAGGTTCATCTTCTGGGCTGATAGTGCGTTCTCCAATTATAAACCCTGCAACTTTTGACCCTCTTGGGACCTTTTCTACTTCTCTCGGAAATAGTGAAAGCCACGTAGCACTTGCGAAGAAAATCGCATTGTTGTACATTTAGACGCCTTACCTCCCCTATGCTACCTTTTTGGCTCGTGAACAGAAAAATCCAGGGATATCTTGCGACGCCAACCCATGCAATATTGAGATAATTTCACGCCCTAGACTGTGATATCCATTCCACCTGACGTTGGATTGGCTGCCCCAGAGTGCAGGGGTAGACTTTTACTTTGACAGCCGGGGCAGTTGTGCACAATCTCATGGGCAAAGAGATCGCAGTCGATACAAAAGTGGTTATGACATGCGGTACACTCGTAGCGACTGCTCACACTCATTCCCTTGGTCTGGATCTCTGCCATTTGCCAGTGATCTTCCAAAGGCACAGGGGGAAAAGAAAGACCACAGGCAAAGCAAGCGGAGCTTCGCGAGGCTCGACGCCACGGCACCTCAATCCAGTTGATCAATGGAAATAGGTGATGATACGATCGTGCCAGATGAGTTGAAAGAATCAATGTGAGCCCGCAAGATGGGCATTCAGCAGGAAGACTACACACTTTGCTATTGCATCGTGAGCAAAGATAACCTCCTCGTGAGGGCTTTGAATGGCATGCGCAGAGCGAGGGACTGGACTCCACTGTACGAGAAGGAAATCCCATCATCAGCAACGAGCTTGTAGATTCTTTCTGTGAGTAGGCAGCCGGGGGTGTGGTCACGTCCATCATCAGCTCCCGAAAGTGCTGCTCATTCAGTGCTACCCCATATGCTGTTTCATCACCACCATTGGTTTTTGTACAAAGTTCCCGGCAAATAGCAACCTGGGCTGCGAGCCCCACAATGCCAACCCGGATTTTATCGCTAATCAAGGCATCTATCGTTTGGTGGATGTCTCCAGGATCGGAGGAAAGGAGGGAACCATATATAAAAAGCACTTCTCGAGTGCCATGACTAGGCGTGTGGCTAAATTCACTGGTTAGTTTCGTTCAACCCTCCAAGCTACATGTAGCTGGCGTAAAGACATACAAAAGAGCACCACGTGCCATCTCCAATCCATTCTGAAGACTGGGCAAACCTTTCGGATCTTGCATTTTGAGCGCTTGAATGGCTGTGAGGTGTCCTGTTGGATTGCCACTCATGTCACTGACTCGGAGCGCGAGACCATCTCTCAGTCCGAGGACACCAAGCTGGGAGATGGGATTTTGTTCAAAAAATTCTCTCACAAATTCCTGGGCATATCGGAGAGCCAACAAGTATCTTGTAGGTCGCAAGTCCTTCTCGGACATGGATTGCGAAAGATCCAGAATTAGGATGAGATGTCGAATAATACCGCGCTGGAGTGGTGTTGTATCTTTCAGGAGCCTGAACGACCAATCCACTTCAGCAAGAATGTATGGACGCTGTAAGGTGAAATGACTAACCTTTTTCGTTTCCCAGCCTCCAACAGACCTTCGACAGTCGAGTTGATGGTACCATCTGCGCCCTCCACCAGTGTCTCCCAGGTTCTGGATAGCTCCCATTCTGCGCCTCCGCGCTGCTTTCTTTTGGCTCGCGAAATATCGCCCCGAGTCACCTGTAAATCATCTTCATCTTCTGTTACCTCACCCACATATTCCTCGTCGGAGTCGGCCATTTTTGTAGGTAAGAGTGGAGTGAGAAAGAGAGACAGAGAGAGGATCCAAGCGGAAGACCAAAAATGGTCCAAGCTTCCGACGGAGCTCCGTTGGAGTATGTCTTCCAAATCTCCTCTTTCACCAAGCCGCAAGACGCAATTCCCTTCAAACGGGAAATTTTTTTTTTTTGAAAGAGCTCCGACGATAGCCGTAGACGGTTAAGCTAGAACTCCCCCGATGTGGGGAAGAAGATCCATTCGTGCTGGCGTAGCAGTTCAAGTCCTCCGTCCAGTCACTCTCCGCCCTGCCCCTCCTCTTCTTTCTCGCACACAACACAAACTTTCTCTTTCGCATTCTCCTCGACTAAGACCTCGACTGCCTACACCCGCCGCTACTTTAGATCTGAGTTTTCCTCTCATTAGGCATTGTTCCGCCGAAGTCCGCATGATGGCATCTCAAGAGCGAGAGACACTTCCTGACGTGTGAGTGATGCCCCGCTTAGGTTACTCTGTGTGTGTTTTTTTATTCTTATTCCCTTTCGTTTCTCACATTTGAGCCATCGCTTTATTTCTGGTCTGAAGCTTTGGAAACTGACATGATAATAGGGCTAAGCCTATCAACTATCACGTCTCTCTTTTCGACTTGCAGTTCGGTGGTTCGTGGGAATACAAGGGCGCGTTGCAGATCGACCTCAAAGTCACACGTGCTACCAGGGAGATTGTTCTGAACTCGAAGGAGATCGAAGTACAAAATGCCGAGATTCTGGGCAAAGATGGTACGTGTGGGAGCATATCGTTCGTGTGATATGGTGGGGTAAAAATTAATACCGGTCTTCTTGTCACAGGGAGTCAATTAGCCAAAGCATCCGGAATCACCTACGACAAGCAATCGGAGCGAGTCTCCCTCGCTTTCTCGCAAGAGATTGCGCCGGCAAACGTTGTGCTTTCTATCAATTTTACCGGCATTATGAACAATGCGATGGCCGGTTTCTACCGCTCGAAGTATAAGCCCATTGGAGAACCATCTCCTGACACACCCAAAGAGGGTGACTTTCACTACATGCTAAGCACTCAATTTGAGTCCTGTGACGCACGCAGGGCTTTCCCGTGTTTCGATGAGCCAAACTTGAAATCCACCTTCGATTTCGAGATTGAAGTTCCCAAGGGACAGACTGCATTGAGTAACATGCCCGTTCAATCTGAAAGAGATGGAAACAAGCCCGGTCTGAAGTTTGTCACGTTCGAGAAGACACCGGTGATGAGCACCTATCTCCTGGCCTGGGCAGTTGGTGACTTCGAATACGTCGAGGCTATGACTGAGCGCAAATATCAGGGCAAGAGTATTCCCGTTCGAGTCTACACCACTCGGGGCCTTCAAGACCAGGCTCGTTTTGCACTGGAATGTGCTCACCGCACGGTTGACTACTTCTCGGAAGTCTTCGAAATTGAATACCCTCTCCCCAAGGCTGATCTCCTAGCTGTTCATGAATTCGTGAGTAAACGTTTCTTCTGCATAAGTTTCAAGAGTTTAATTTGAGCTAATTGCGGTTCTCTAGGCCATGGGTGCCATGGAGAACTGGGGTCTTGTGACCTATCGAACGACCGCCGTTCTCTTCGATGAAGGAAAATCGGACAACCGCTATAAGAACCGCATTGCTTATGTTGTAGCTCACGGTTAGTCCCCAAATTCCTTTAACCCTTGGATATCTAGGTTTCAATATGGCTTTGATAACTGACTCACTATATAGAGCTGGCTCACCAGTGGTTTGGCAATCTCGTCACCATGGACTGGTGGAATGAGTTGTGGCTGAATGAGGGATTCGCAACCTGGGTCGGCTGGCTTGCCGTTGATCATTTCTATCCTGGTGAGCTTTTTTTTCGCTTCGGGGCGATGAGCCCCCTGATACTGTATCTAATGTGCAAGCAGAGTGGAACGTCTGGTCTCAGTTTGTTGTACGGAATGCCCGAGGTAATATCCATCATGTTAAGGCCGATATTGACGTTCTCCCAGGCTGAAGGTGTGCAACAAGCATTTCACCTCGACTCGCTCCGCGCTTCCCACCCCATCGAAGTTCCCGTTCGGAACGCCCTCGAAGTTGACCAAATTTTCGACCATATCAGCTATCTGAAGGGAAGCTCCGTCATTCGCATGCTGAGTGTTCACCTCGGTAGAGAGACTTTCTTGCGCGGAGTTGCAGACTATCTCAAATCTCATGCATATGGTAAGGTGTCAAAAAAGAGGATTCTGAGGAACGTGTGCTGAGTGGTTATAGGAAATGCGACCACAAATGACCTGTGGTCTGCCTTGAGCAAAGCCTCCGGCCAGGACGTGCATTCTTTTATGGTTAGTAAATACCCAATCCTTGGCTCTCTGTTTGACTCTGTTTGGTCAACTCGAGATCTAACTCGTCTGCCCTAGGATCCCTGGATTCGCAAGATTGGTTTCCCGGTTGTCACCGTGACAGAAGAGCCCGGTCAGGTCACCGTTAGCCAGAATCGATTCTTGTCTACCGGTGATGCGAAGCCAGAGGAGAATGAGACGAAATGGTGGATTCCTCTCGGCATCAAATCCGGACCGAAACTGGCTACTGTTGACACCCGTGCTCTGACTTCGAAATCCGACACCGTTGGAGGAATTGGGGAGGACTCTTTTTACAAGATCAACAAGGACCTGTCTGGGTTCTATCGAACCAACTATCCTCCTATGCATCTGGCAAAGCTGGGCCAGTCGCTTAATCTCCTGAGCACTGAGGACAAGATCGGCTTGCTGGGTGATGCAGCTGCCCTTGCAGTCTCTGGCGAAGGCACTACGCCCGCCTTGTTGAATCTTCTGGAAGGATTCAAGGAAGAACAAAATTATCTGTGAGTTATATCTCCTTGTAGTCCTTTACTGTCATCTCTGACCTCTCATCCTGCAGTGTTTGGTCCCAAGTCTCTGCGTCCCTGGCGAACCTCCGGTCGGTTTTCTCGCAAAACGAGAAAGTGGCCGAGGGATTGAAGCAGTTTACCCTTAAACTGGTTTCCCCGGCCGCAGAACGTATTGGGTGGGAGTTCAAGTCCGATGAGGACTACCTCATTGTGCAGCTTCGAAAGCTGCTCATTGCAATGGCCTGTAATGCGGGTCATGAAGGGTGAGCTCTTTTCCCTCGTCTCCGAATGTTGAACACTCTCTCATGCAGTCTCATTCTTTTTTAGATTTGTCACGGAAGCCAAGCGCCGCTTTGATCTCTGGGCGACCGAAAAAGATGCCAGTGCCATTCATACCAACCTGCGGTCAGTGATTTTCAGCGTCAATGTGTCCGAGGGCGGCCGTAAGGAGTACGATGCCGTTAAGAACGAGTATATCCGAACCGACTCTGTGGATGGCAAAGAAATTTGCCTGTCTGCACTTGGACGCACCAAGGATGCTGCTCTGGTGGAGGACTACTTGAACTTCGTGTTTTCGGACAAGGTGGCCATCCAGGACATCCACAGCGGTGCCGTATCTCTGGCCGGTAATTCGAAGGTCCGGCATTTGCTATGGCAGTACATCAAGGACAACTGGACTGCTGTCGAAACACGATTGTCATTTAACAATGTTGTGTTTGAGCGCTTTGTCCGTATGGGTCTATCAAAGTTTGCCGATCACCAGATCAGTGACGACATTGCATCCTTCTTCAAGGACAAGGAAACCGGGGCCTATGACCGTGCACTCGTGATTGTCTCGGACAACATTCGAACCAATGCAACCTACAAGGAGCGTGAGGAGGCGTTGGTTCTCGAATGGCTGCAGGCACACGGTTACGCGTAAATGAGTGTCTACGAACATGGTGGCTTTTTGACTCTTATTAACAACAAAATTGGTTAATCGAACCTTCCTTGATTTTTTAATCATCTTAGAGGGAGATTCCGGATTCCGGATCCTTCAGATCATTGGTCCAGTATCCACGAGGCTAAGTTCATGCACGGGATAACATCAGTTGAGCAGGTGATCTCTGGTATGAGAAATCAAGTAAAGAAATCTTCTTGTGATAGATAGGACTGTGAAAAGAGAAGTAAACAATAGTCAAGTAGAAATAAATTAGAAAATGTAGAAATTAAACAAAGTAAGAAGAAAATCCAAGAAGTGATTGTGACATGAAACAAAGCTGCGCATCAGGTGCGTCTGCCTCCCTGCACCTCCTATCATTTCAGGCGACTGTTCCATCATTGTCCCCTCCCCCGACTTCCTAGGAACTTCGACTCCATCAACTCGTTTTCTTCCCCCCCTCCCCTCTATATTCCTCTCGACTTGTGTGTGCTCTATCTCTAATTTCATTTCACCCTCTTCTCCACCAAAGTCTCACCATGAATCCTGAGTGGTAAGCCTCACCCATTTTCCATTTCCCCCCAAATCTCCTTCTAACTAGGCGCCCTGCTTTGGTCGACTATACAAGTCCGCTTGTGTGTCGGATTTGACTGATGTGATTTTTCTTTCCAGAGTATTGTCGCATCGAAGATTTGACCGTCACACGACCCAGATCTTCCAACTTCCCGATCTCCGTTGCCTAACCATCGAGATAGATACGATTACCTTTTCAAGCTGCTCCTCATCGGTGACTCTGGTGTTGGAAAGTCTTGCTTGCTGCTTCGATTTGCCGATGATACCTACACTGAAAGTTACATCTCGACTATCGGAGTTGACTTCGTACGTCTCGGAAGCTGCCAGGTATTTAACCGCAAGAGAATAGCGGTGCTGACGGGCCATTATAGAAAATCCGCACAATCGAGCTCGATGGCAAAACCGTGAAACTTCAGATCGTACGGCTATGCTGAACCCCAAACATTCAAAGCAAAGCTAACGATTCATATAGTGGGATACCGCCGGCCAGGAGCGATTCCGTACCATTACATCTTCTTATTACCGAGGCGCTCATGGAATTTGCGTGGTTTACGATGTCACCGATATGGATTCCTTTAACAACGTAAAGCAGTGGCTCCAGGAGATTGACCGATACGCTACTGAGGGTGTTAACAAGCTTCTCGTTGGAAACAAGAGCGATATGGAGGACAAGAAGGTGGTGGAGTACACCGTTGCCAAGGTATGTTTAAGTAGAGACCCATGACCATTTGGGCGGACAATTAACAAGTTGCGATTGCACTTTTACAGGAGTTCGCTGATAGTCTCGGAATTCCTTTCCTCGAAACTTCGGCCAAGAACGCGTCGAATGTTGAGCAGGCTTTCTTGACAATGGCACGACAGATCAAGGAACGCATGGGAACGGCCACTGTCAACAACAAGCCAACTGTGCAGGTTGGTCAGGGCCAGGGTGTCCAGTCCGGATCTGCAGGTGGTTGCTGCTAAACGCCACGATGTTCTCTGTGTGGTGCGGTGCTTCACTTTGGCGCAATGTTACATCATGAATTGAGGGGTTTCAAGCGGCGTGGTATCTAATCGGCAGAAGTCAGGCTTGTCAGGCCTTTGGAAACTCGGCATGTTCCTGACAGGCAACGAGAAGCTTCTCCACGGAGCTGGCAATCGCTATGATGATGCCGTTGGAGGTTCTTTCTTGCCTTGGATTCGACTCTAGACGGCCTGCATTCTATCTTCGTTTCTGCGTTTGCTTCTGCGTTTACCGCCGGTTTCTGCGTTCTCATGATTTCCTGGCCACGTCTCTGCTCTATTACCTCGGCCCGTCATTCTCTGTGTGTCTTTTTTTTCCTCCCCCTTTCACCTTTTTATTTTCTATCTTCGCTTTTTTTCTGTAGGTTGGATTTCTCACTTGTGAATGGACTAATAGCGAGAACATTGCGACTTCTCGAGGCATTCAGCCTCACATGAGGCTACTTTTTCTATTCGTTTCTAGCAAACTACTATGTTTTAATGTGTAGTGTGTAGATCGTCCCCGAAGTTCACATGAACTTAAAACGTATCTAATACATTGTACATGCACTGTCAAGGCATCTATGGATATAAATATAATCACATGCAAGTCACCGGCGCCGACTCCATAGTGAGTAGGACCCTCAACATATGTATACAAGTTTGGAAGGTACCTGAGTAATCCAGAGATTTTAACCAATTTCCTGGTTCTTTGGACTTCACACACCCAAGTCACTCGATTTACCCGCAGGCCTCGAGGAAATCAAGAAATTGCATCAAATTCAACTATTAACTGCACATTATGAATATAAGAACTATCTTGTACCAGGCGAATTTACGATATGGGCGTTTCGGAATGTAGTGGAGTTTGATAAGAGCCGAGGCACACAGCTCTCGGCAAAACGTCATGTACATCCCATCCCTTTCAAGCCGACTCGTTTCGATGGTTTTGGAATTCTAGAACTTTTTTAAACCTAACATCTGTTATCTTCTTCCGCTCTTTGCAGGATATACGTTACATCGGAATAAAGTCCGATAATCTAGCTCTCCCCATCATGTCTCAACCCGGAGCCGACCAGAGCAAAGCAGAATCTGCTGCTGTTCAGCAGAGTGATAACATCGCGCACGCGCTGGCGGGTGCGGGAGGGGGGGTTATGTCGATGGTCTTGACGTAAGTTTCCCCACGTTTTCCCCATTGCTACCTCTAACCCCATACACACCTCAGATACCCTCTGATCACTTTGTCGACAAGAGCCCAAGTTGAGTCGAAGCGTGCGCACTCAACCACCCTTGACGCCGTACGTCGCATTGTACAGAGAGAAGGTATTTCGGGACTATACTCTGGCCTGGAATCAGCGTTGTTTGGAATCAGCGTCACAAATTTTGTGTATTACTATTGGTACGAATTTACGCGTTCGGCCTTTGAGAAGGCCGCCACCCAGGGAGGTCGAGCCTCGAAAAACCTCACGGCGGTGGAGTCTATGATTGCGGGCGCCATTGCAGGGAGCGCCACGGTGCTGATCACTAACCCGATCTGGGTCATCAACACTCGCATGACTGCCCGCAAGTCTGAGGCGGAGGAAACATTGCCTGGTGCTAAGATAACAAAAGCATCCACCATCAGCACCCTGATGGACCTGCTCCGGCAGGAGGGCCCCAAGGCCCTATTTGCCGGTGTTCTCCCGGCATTGATTCTAGTGATCAACCCAATTCTGCAATACACCATTTTCGAGCAATTGAAAAACATGGTAAAGCGCCGCCGGCGTGTGACGCCGAAAGATGCGTTTTACTTGGGCGCACTAGGCAAAATTATGGCCACCAGCCTTACATATCCATATATCACTATCAAGAGCCGAGCTCATGTGGCCAGCAGGGATGGCCCCAAAGAGAGCCTGAACGGTAGCCTGAAGAGGATTATCCAGGAAGAAGGCTGGAAGGGACTCTACAAGGGTAAGCAATTTTTGGAGTCATACTAGTTTGCTGTTCACTGATATGATTTCAATAAGGTATTGGGCCGAAGATTACCCAAAGCGCCATCACTGCTGCATTTCTTTTTGCTTTCAAGGATGTGCTGTATGATATGATGGTGTCTGCCCGTAGAAAGGGGCGCATCACCAAATAGACAGGAAATGCCTCCAAGTCTACTAGACCTATGTGATAACTCACATGGTCAAAAGTTCTGGAGAGACAAGGTCCGGGCCCTCAATGTCCACCATGTAAACTTGTCGAGAGTGCGAGGAATGCAAGCGTAAATGGCAACTTTAACTTCACTTTCCCACTATAAAGAATGACTTTGGTGAAAGTCCTCGGAGGTTCTTGGGAGCTAACGGGGGCTCTTTTAGAGCGATCCCCAGGAACTCTGCAAATTTGTAGTTTAGTTATTCACTTGAAATTTGACTCTTACGCTTCTTTAATCACCACTTCAGACTTGACCGCCTTACCTCGGTTCACCGCCCATCACCGCTCCTACCCGCGTCATCGCGTTGTCGACGCAATTCTGCTCCATTTCTCCACACTTTCTCCTGTATCTTCTGCAATCTGGGCAATTTTCTGTTCTGCGCATTGATTCCTCTATAACCTCTGCTTTACAATCCCTCTTTGGTTTTCTACACCTAATTCTCCCTGGTATGATTCTTTCAGTCTCTTTAGGCGGGAAAAACACCTAACGCATGATAGATCCAAGCTTGCCTCTCCATTGTCGCATCGCCTTTGTGACCCTCTTACCTTTAGTTTTGGCTTGGAAGATCTGTGTTCGCTGCATATATTGTCCATCCATCCACTTAGAAACAATATCTTGAACGGCTGTAATGCCTAGGATTCAGCTCTAGTACCGCCGTCAAGGTTACACCGAGGCAATTCCTTTCCCAGCAAAGCCATCCAAAGACATAGGCCTGCTCCTGCTGAAGGAAGGAACACAATCACACTCAAGGGATTGACGGGTTTGAAGGCAATTACGGAAACCTCAGGTTCAGTGTGAACGCAGCGGGAGCCGGGGCCGATGTTATGTCTTTCTCACTTTGCCATCGTCCGACAACAGACGTGACTGAGCCCAAATTCATATCAATCCACTCCAAAATGTGAGGGAGCGCTCTTGTTGCTCTTACTATTAATATCTAACCTCTTCTCTCTCTTTCTCTCTCTAGCCCAGAACGTCAGCTGTGGCACTGAAATGTCCTACGGCTTTTCCAGTCCTAATGGCCAGGGTGTTGTCCCTATATTCCCTGGTCTGTCAGCCCGAAGCATCCCGGAAAATCCAGATATTCAACGTGAGACTCTCCGTTTACTAGTGCAGTATTCTAGGGTCTCTTCTCTGCCAGAGAATCTGTCAACTCCGGTCAGCTCTGGCCATACGAGAGACGAGGTCCGAAATGCCTGGCAGTCCTCGCGGACTGAAGTCCAGCCCAGTGAGGTCTCACCTCTCCGAACACCATATCGATTCACGCGTTCCTCAAGTGGCAGCCGTTCCACTCAACCTTCTCCTACCCGCTCTGTCGCTCCTTCCTTTGGCAGTCTAATGCGGCTATCCTCTCGCACTCCTTTCCGACTTACATCTCCCCAATCTGTTTCTGTTTCTATTTCTTCCTCGCATGATATCTCCCCTACCCATCGCGAGCGCCAACGGACTCTTAGGGAGAGTGTGGCAATATCAAATGCCAGCAGGAACGATGAGATAGTTGCATCTATCCGAAAGCAGCACTCTTCTAACCCCCCGGATACCTTGTCATCTGCCTCCAGATCCCCCCACTCGCGATCAGTCTCGCCGACCGCCGAGCAAAGTTCCATTCGTCGCTCTAGTCGAAATAGAGTTCAACCCATCAACTATTACGCCAACCCTTGGTTCAATGTTCCCCTTGATTCTGAGGTGCCTGAAAAAAATATCGAATCTACTCCGGACACCGTCGGATCTTCCCCACAGGAACCGTGTCGCGTTGCACCCCGTCGTGCAAATGTCCAAAAGCTGCTGTACGGCCGTGAGCTTGGAGGCGGAAATCATCACCCCATTTTCGCCGATGTGGTCTCGGACCTGAGACCATGGAAATCATGGCAAGGTGCTTCTGGGGATCTGCTTGTTCTGGCTTGGTCGCCTGATGGTACTCAGTTTGCAGCAGGTGCCGCAGCCAAATCAGACGAACATAACATGCAGTACAACAAACCCAACAATCTTCTTCTAGGTGATCTTCAGAGCAATAGTCTAAAGGAAATTCCGGACCATTGGATTCCACGGCCGACATCGTCCACAGTTGATGACCCACGGCTTTTTATGAGCGTCAACAACATGGAGTGGATTGGCAATCGACTCTACACTGCTAGTTTTGACAAAACTGTCAAGATTTGGGACGTGGAATCAGCCCGCAACGTATCCTGTACCCATACATTGCAGCATGAGTCTCGAGTGGCGGTGATGTCCGTTTCGAAATTCGACCCGAATATCTTAGCTACAGGGACAGAAACAATCTTGGTCTGGGACACACGAGACCCTGAAAACTTGACATCGACTCTCCTTCCTCTCGACCGTGATGCGCGATACAAGCCCACCTTTGAGTTCTCATCAACGGCTTTGGCCTGGGGCAATGCTCCGTCGACTGAGGTATTCTTAGCCGGAGGTCTGGCCGAACCAGGAGAGGATCCGATATACAAAGGTCACCTAGGCTTGTGGCGAGCCCGCGAATCTGCATTTGAGACCGTCAGGATGTCTTCCAACTCGCAAAATGTCTTTGACATTAAGTGGCACTCTTCGTTGCCTATCTTTGCCACGGCCAGTCCTGAAGATCCTCACAACGCCCGTATCAAAGGTATTGGTATCACCACGAAATCAATCGTGAGGGTGTTTAGCCTCAATTGTGACCTCCACAAGCGTGTGCCGTCCGTGATGGAATTTTCCTGCCCAGCCTTTGATGTCAATGATGTCAGTTTTTGTCCAATAGACTCAAATGGCACATATGTGACTGCTAGTTGTACGGACGGCAAAACTTATGTTTGGGATAATCGGAAGGGTGATAGAATTCTCCACGAACTTCGCCATAGGGCCCCCCTAAACCCCATTGATCATCAGCGAAGCCGGGAAACGGCGGATGTGGGGGTTAGGGTAGCGCTCTGGGGTTCGTCGATGGACCAGTTCTATACCGGCGCCTCGGATGGTGTTCTTAAACGATGGGATATCCGCCGATCACCTGAAGATGTCCTCGTTGAAGACATCGCCTCTTTTGACGAGGAGATAATGTGCGCTGCCTTCACTGACGATCAATCCCATCTTCTCGTCGGGGGTTCTGGAGGAGGCGTGCACGTTTTATCGTCGGGACCTTGTTCGGATCCGGACATAAGAAGTTTCGAGTTCGAACACGCTCCAGAACCCGAAAAGCCCTGTGACAGTGGCATCGTTGCGGGAAACCAGCTCGTCCTATCCGGCCAGATAGTGAGGCATGACAAATTTGGCATGGGTCAAGGGCCTTCTTACACGGGGCCTTTTGCCTCGTGGGCTAGGAACATCACACAAGGCGTTTCTTCTCATCGAATCGGGCAGCTTCCTCTACTCAAAAAATACCAGAGCCAACAGTTGGATGGTCCTCCGCCAGAAGACCGCCATGATCTCGATGTAAAACAGCGACGAGAGGTCGAAAGACAAATACAACTTGCGGAGATACGAAATCGAGGATTCCGTAAGAGAAAATGCCGGGAATATAATGATTCTTCTACGTTCATTTTCCAGGGTCCTATAGCTTCCCTTGGCTCTTCCAGGCCGGAGAAAAAGAGGAAGAAAAAAGCCGAGAAAGTCGAAGTGAAAAAGGAAGACAATCAAGAGAACTGCGGGGAGAATAGAGGAGCCAACAAAAAAGAGATAGCGAAAAAGAAATCTCGGACGAAAAAGAAGGTCCGCAGGCTCTCGCGTCGGATAATCAGCAATACCGAAGACGTTGATCTTACTCTACTGGACTCAGATACAGAGATGGGCATGTCAAACCGACAGCGGTTTGATTTTGAGGAACTACTTGAGGTTCTAGAAGAGGATAATTGGTTCCCAGCTAGTGGAGAAATCGATCCTAACATCCAAAAGGAGATCGTCTAAATACCTTTTTTGATACTGCCGGTTTGTTTTGCATAGCATTGAAGCGTGGGGACCTGATTTGATTGTTTTTTCAAAAGAAATTCACGTTACAGCGAAAGTGCTATCAAAGATGTTTGTGTATGTATGTCTGGAGGACACGACCGATAGGCTGAAATCTTGAACGTGGTAGCTTATAGATAGATGATTGTTGCATGTGATGGTACTACTATACATGGCCTTTGGTATGGTGACATCAGGGCACTGCCACCGACCACAAGGAGGCGCAGTCGATGTGCCTGAGGCCACAAATCCTCACCCGCTAAGCATATATACACATAGAAGAAGACCTCCTCTCTCATTCTCATTATCACTCTCCCAATCTCTCCCATCCTGTTTTAAACCTATACTTCTTGATAACTGACACAGTTCAATCTTTCAACATTGCAACTCATTCAAGCTACTCGCACCTGTCACCTCATGTCGTTCGCCCCGCCTTCTGGGCCTCCACCGCCCTCGGTACCTGAGGGATGGAAAGCGCAGTATGACGATCGATACCACGCTTGGTACGTGTGTATCCATCGTAACAAAATGCGATTACTGACAATCTTGTAGGTTTTATGTAGACCTTGCTACAGGCAAATCGCAATGGGACCGCCCGGAAGCCGCCCCACCGCACGGTGACCCTCCCCCGCCATCATACAACAACGCCGGGCCTGGAGACCCAGCAGCGATAGCCAATGTGGGAGACCAGAAGCAACACATGGGTTCAAACAACCCTTATAACCCTTCAACAAATGCTGGCCCAGGCAATGCGAACTCTCACGTGATCGACGAAGACGCACGACTTGCCGCTAAGCTTCAAGCCGAGGAAGATGCCCGGGCTGGCACACGAGGAGCAGGAGCCGGCTCAGGAGATCGTGGGGCCTCCTCGGACTACTACAACGATGCCTCGCGGCCACAGTCCACTGGTCCAGGCGGATATGCGACGGGCTCAGCATCGCATAGCCCGATGCCTGAACAGGCACAAAAGCGCAGCAAAGGTGGGTTTTTGAGCAAGCTGATGGGCAAGAGCTTAAGCAAGCCGTCTCGGCCACAGCAACAGTACGCCTCGTATGCCCAGCAAGGTCCTCCTCCTGGTGCTTATTACGGCGGTGGCTATCCTCCGCAACAGGGGCCCCAGCCTGGATATGGACTCTCCGGACCGGGATACGGAGGCGGATACGGAGGATTCCCGCAGCAGGGTGGATATTACCATCAGCAACCGCCCCGCAGGCAAGGTGGAGGGGGTATGGGAACTGCCGGTGCTGCTGCTCTAGGAGTTGGTGGCGGTTTGCTTGGCGGTTTGCTGATTGCTGATGCTATCGATGATTTTCATGACAACGATGATTACGGCGGTGGCGGTGATGATTATGGTGGTGGTGATGACTTCGGAGGAGGCGACTTCTAAGCTCGGTTGCATCTTGATTTCTTTAATTGTTCTGCTTTTTTCTTTTTTGGTTTGTTGCCAGGACGGTCTTCGGGATAAGGGACAGGCCTCTGTACAGCTCGAGGACTTTGTAGGCGCTTTCACATCGGGAAGGATTTGGGAGGATTGCTTTTGTTTCAGTTCCATCTCAACAGCTCTAGTCATTTATTGGAATTTGGCTCCAACTTTAAAAAGCCAGGCGTTGTATCATACAATTAGCCACGAGACAATGACAATGTACCATGTCAAGAAGGGTCAATTTATTGAAGTAATGATCTTCTATTCACGTCTCCGGACAGAACCACTGGTATCTCTACCAGTTGAACCACCCTGAGCCGCATCATTGGCGGCGGGGCTAGGGGCGCCAGTGCCCGCCATCCAGCTGGCTAGATCGAACCCGCCGCCAGTCATGGCATTGGTAGTGGCACCGGTGATGGGAGAGGAGCGAGAATGCTGTTCAAATTCGGCACGCATCTCAGGATCCACTAGACAACCGAGTTAGGCACCGAGAGTTTGATTTGGAATAGCATCAAGGGTGAGGGACATACTATTATCCATGAGCTTGGGCATGACAAACATGAGACCCAGCGCAACAACTGCAAGCAAGACCATTGGGTTCTTGACAAGACTCAAGGGGGAGACTGCGATTCAATCCAAAATTAGCACAGCCACAAAAAGTGAACTGCAGGATTCATCTGCGGAGGGAAGAGGGGCAGCTCACATTGAGCACGCTGCTCATAGAAGACCTTCCGTCCAAGAACCTTGGCCTCGATAACCACATCAACCTGCTTCCTTCCAGCAACATCCAAAATAAATTTCTCCGCACCACGATTATCCCACGGGTTCCCGCGGAAAGTCTCCCAGATGCCGAGAATGGATCCATCAGCTGCAACATCGACGCGGTAGGGGGCGAAGACGTATTCGCCAGCGGAGCGAATATCAAGTAAGTAGGACTCGGGTTGAGATTCTGGGCCGGATGATGGGAGATCATGGAACACAAATGTTGCCGAGCGGGTCAACGACGCGGAAAGGATGTGGTCTTTCCCACCACAGGGGAGAGTGGTAAGAGTGGCATGGCTGGTTGCAGGGAGGACATGCGGGTTTGGGAGAGGACTAGAGACGGGGATAGTGATTGTCAAAGAGCTGGTAGACACCAGACTGCTGACCCCTAGCAGAAGAAGAGAGGTGAGCGAAAAATGCATGGTGGAGATGTTGTCGCTGTGGAAGATGGAGGGCCATGAACCGATCAGCAAGCAGTGTCTATATCACGTGATGGGGTATCTTCTCTGATGCACGACCAAGTGTCTCGAATCACCGGAACAACCATCTTGTTTTCCACAACCCAGAGCATCATGCCTGTCTATCTTATCTCCAGGTACAAGCACTTCCCAACGGTTTGGCTATCTCCGACAAGAGATCTATCATTCTAACGCCGTGTAAATATAGGATCGCAGATCCCCTCTTCGCCCTGACCATGGGCGTTTCTGCTGCGCTCACCCGCATCCACCGTGACCAGCGCGAACAGCACCCCGAACGCGCATCAGAAATCACATACGTAAGCATCGTGCAAACGAGCGGGCATCGGTTACAACGGTGGTGGAACGGAGATTTCCAAGGTGTTTAAGCAGGAATTATGATCGTCGGCTTGGAGTTCTGGTTTGGGGGATTTTTCAAAGCAGATAATCAATACTATCAAATCCTGTTCTAGTTATATGTCTACCTACATGAGCTGATCATCCAAGTGCATGGAGTAGTCATAGTTTACACTTGCAAGGTCTAGAAGGGGAGGTCTGAACGAGGGCTACCTTACGCAATAAACTTTTCAAGTCGAATATGTACTGCGGATTAACAATCTACCGGAACGATCATTTTTTGAATTAAGAAGAATTTTGATTCACTAGGAGTTATTTCCCTAGAAGAGATACCCTTGTATCTATGCAATCATGCGCAAAAAGAAAACTTTGATATCCCATAAGTTCGTAAAACAAGACGTGAAATGAAACGAGTGCCAAATAGCAATTAAGAAGGAATCATTCAGAGCGAAACGTTCAGTCAAGCTCTTCGGGCTTCTCCTCGACCTCGTCAGCGGAACGGGCACCACCCTCGGGGGCACCAGCGCCAGGGGGAGCCTGGCCACCGTAGGCAGCGGAGATGATGGGGTTGGCAACAGCCTCAAGCTCCTTCTGCTGGGACTCGTACTCGTCCTTCTCGGCAGTCTGGTTGCTGTCGAGCCAGCCGATGACCTCGTTGATCTTGTCCTCGACCTTCTTCTTATCATCCTCGGAGATCTGAAGCTTGCCCTCGGAGAGAGTATTCTTGAGGGAGTAGGCGTAAGACTCAAGACCGTTCTTGGCCTGGATGCGAGCAGACTCAAGCTCATCCTCCTCCTTGTACTTCTCAGCCTCGGAAAGCATGCGCTCGATCTCCTCCTTGGAGAGACGACCCTTGTCGTTGGTAATGGTAATCTTGTTGGACTTTCCGGTACCCTTCTCGAGAGCGGAGACGTTCATGATACCGTTGGCATCGACATCGAAGGTGACCTCAACCTGGGGCACACCACGGGGGGCAGGGGGAATGCCAGTGAGCTCGAACTTTCCGAGGAGGTTGTTGTCCTTGGTGCGAGCACGCTCACCCTCGAAGACCTGGATCAGGACACCGGGTTGGTTGTCGGAGTAGGTGGAGAAGGTCTCGGACTTCTTGGTAGGGATAGTGGTGTTGCGCTTGATCAGAGGAGTCATGACACCACCGGCGGTCTCGATACCCAGAGAAAGAGGAGCGACGTCGAGAAGCAGGATCTCATTGGTGGACTTGGAAGACTGATCACCGGACAGGATGGCGGCCTGGACGGCGGCACCGTAGGCAACGGCCTCGTCGGGGTTGATGGACTTGTTGGCGTCCTTGTTGAAGAAGTCGGAGACGAGCTTCTGGATCTTAGGGATACGGGTAGAACCACCGACAAGGACAATCTCGTGAACGGAGGACTTGTCAATCTTGGCATCACGGAGAACCCGCTCAACGGGCTCCATGGTGCCGCGGAAGAGGTCCTGGCAGAGCTCCTCGAAACGGGCACGGGTGATGGAAGTGTAGAAGTCAACACCCTCGAAGAGAGAGTCAATCTCAATGGAGGTCTGGGCAGCGGAAGAGAGAGTTCGCTTGGCACGCTCGCAAGCGGTGCGGAGACGACGGAGAGCACGGGCATTTGTGGTCAGATCCTTCTTGTGCTTGCGCTTGAACTCGTTGACGAAGTGGTTGACCAGACGGTTATCAAAGTCCTCACCACCCAAGTGGGTGTCTCCAGCAGTGGCCTTTACCTCGAAGATACCCTCCTCGATGGTCAGGAGAGAAACATCGAAAGTACCACCACCAAGATCAAAGATCAGAACGTTGCGCTCACCCTCGACTTTCTTGTCAAGACCGTAGGCGATAGCAGCGGCAGTGGGCTCGTTGATGATACGGAGGACGTTGAGACCAGCGATGAGACCGGCGTCTTTGGTAGCCTGACGCTGAGAGTCGTTGAAGTAGGCAGGGACAGTGATGACAGCGTTGTTGACGGTGCCACCAAGGTAGGCCTCGGCGGTCTCACGCATCTTGACGAGGATCATGGCGGAGATTTCCTCAGGGGTGAACTGCTTGGCCTCACCCTTGAACTCAATCTCGATGACGGGCTTGGTAGCCTTCTCGACAATCTTGAAAGGCCAGTGCTTCATATCGGCCTGGACCTCAGCATCCTGAAAGCGGCGACCAATGAGACGCTTAGCATCGAAGACAGTGTTGTGGGGGTTCATGGCGACTTGGTTCTTGGCGGCATCACCGATGAGACGCTCGGTGTCGGTGAAACCGACGAACGAGGGGGTTGTACGGTTACCCTGGTCGTTGGCGATGATTTCAATGCGGTCATCGCGGAAGACACCCACACAGGAGTAGGTGGTTCCCAGATCAATACCGACGGCGGGAGCCATGGTGAATATGTGTGATCGTTAAAAAAGGAAAAGGGTTGTAGAAAGAGATTCGTGGGTCAAGAGAGTAGTGTACAAAGAGGAAGAGGGTATTTGATAGTGAGAAAAGGAAAGAAGAGAAGGGGCTGAGAAAAGCTCCTATATAGTGAGCGGTGTATTACTCCAGAAGCTTCTAGAGGGAGCCTTCCATGAGAATCCATGAGATTCCACGAGCTTCGATGAGCCGGCAACAACCTCATTACGTTCTTCATCAAGACTCTAGTATGTTCCAGATGAGCCCAGTGGAGTCTTCAAGTGTACAAATGACTAGATTCTCTCTTAAAGTATTGTTGATGTCAATTCCCTTTTCTTTCTTCTGTTTCACGTTTTTCTATTCACGTTCTCATCTTTTTTTTGGCGGGGCTGTATGATGTAATGGTGGGATGACTGACTCTCAAGGCGGTGTCCGATGATGGTATTCAAACAGGTTGCATACAGGGTCAATACATGGTTAATACAGAGTTAATACACGTCGCCACGGGATACACACCTTCCAAGGTTGGTTGTCTCTTGGATGAAGATGTTATTGGTATTTTGAGGTAATGAGATAGTGAAATAGTATGCGTCATAGTGAATTCATGACTCAATGTCACATAAACCCCATGAGAATTATCCTTTGGTGAGTTCGGATGGAGCGTTTTTCCATTCCAGGCGGGATCTCCTGGCAGAACAATATATTATGTAACCCTTCCTAACTAGTTAGTCCGGGGATCGGATTAATAGGAGTTGGCCTGAGGCAGAAACTAAATTCTCGTACTTTCTTTTCTGTGTGAAATCTTCACCAGACTTGTCTGGTCCCATCTTTTCCTTTCCCCCCCCCTCCCCCTCCCCCTTTTGAATCGCGTAGGATTATTATTACCTTGACCTTATAACCTTGGGAAAAACTATCCATCAAGTACGGAGTAAATGCGTGAAACTTAATTCATGTCTCAGGTAATAAAAACCAGAAAGAAAAGAACGCTGAAATCACTTTATAATCTTCCTGCCAAGAATCCAATTTGTACTCCGTATGATCCTTCAACATGCGGAGTAATCCGTTGTGCTCCGGAGTGTACCTATGTTGTATGTTGTATATCCCTTGCACAACATAATACTCTATTTGTAAGTTATCTACGAGCTCTCGACAAATCGGAGCCAATCCGGAGAAACTCTCATCTTTTTTCTTAATTTCTTAATAATTTTTTTTTTTGAAAAAAAAAGACTGGGCAGAGAAAAGCTTGCGCCATTCACGCTAAGCCCTTGTCTTTAACCTTAGATGTAACCTTGAAACATGGCATTGGTTTTGACTCATCCAATCGGACTTCTTCTTCTAGTAGGCAATTGCGAATATTTGCTCCAGTCGCACGCCATGAGACATCTCTAAACGTACTAGTTTCTACTCCATACCCTTCTTTAAAATCTTCTGTGTTGTTTTGGATTCTTTCATCAGGACTCTTGTAGAATTCTCTTTGGGACCCTTCTCTTCACCATGTTCGCTGCACTGAAGCGTAAAGGGCCCGAGAACCAACCGACCGAGGTTAAAATAGAAGAAGATACCATGGGTGCAGACGGTTCCGAGGTCTTGTCCAAAAATCCAAAGGTGGCAGAGGCCGGGGTAGATGAGGAGAAATTTGAGTTGAAAGGGGAAACAGCCTCCATTGAACAAGAAACACACGAAAACCCCGAAATTGCTGCATTGCCCTTATCTGTGAGACATCTGATCAACTTGACCGATGACCCCAACTTACCGACAATCACCTTTCGTTACTTTGTGCTTTCGATCATCTTTGTTATTCCGGGAGCCTTTCTATCGCAGATGAGCTACTTCCGCACAACCAAGGCACCATACTCCATTTTCTTTGTTCAAATCGCCTGTCACTATGCCGGTCACTTTATGGCCAGAGTCCTTCCTGATTGGAAAATTGGGTTACCAGGTACTCGCTTTTCTTTTAGCCTGAACCCGGCCCCATGGAGCATCAAGGAGCATGTCTTAGTCACTCTGACTGCAGCTTCTGGAGCGACATACAATCTAGGATATGCTCCCATTGTCCTCGCAGAGCTTTGGTATGGTACACGAATCAATCCGGCAGTTGCGATCTTCTTCATGCTTTCAATCGTGTGGATCGGCTACTCCTTTGCTGCTCTTGCCCGACAAATCCTTCTGCCGGACCCGGAATACATCTGGCCCCAAGCTTTGATGCAAACAACTTTGTTCGAAACTTTCCGCAAGACGGACAACTCATCAGCTGTCGCTCGGCGCCAGATGAAGGTATTCTTCTTCGCGCTTGTCGGGATGACCATGTGGCAGTTCCTTCCAGAGTATGTTTTCCCGTTCACCTCGTCCCTAGCCTTCCTCTGCTGGGTGGCACCTCACAATCCGGTGGCCAACTTTATTGGCTCAGGGATGGGCGGCATGGGCTTCCTCAATCTTTCGTTGGATTGGTCAAATGTGAACTGGAATGGGTCTTCAATCATGACGACCCCATTCTGGACGCAGGTCATCTTGTTCTTAGCATTCGCTTTCAATTGTTGGGTCCTACTTCCTGCAGCGAAGTGGGGGAATCTAGGTTCCTTCAAGCACGGACTCATGTCCAACAGACTTTTCCTAGGCAATGGTACAATCTACCCAACTCTCGATGTACTCACCCCAGACTATCACCTGAACGTGACCGCTTATGAGGAGTATGGGCCGATGTATATGGGTTTGCAAAATGTCTGGGCGACATTTTTCGATTACGCCAAGCTTCCAGCAGCGGTCACTTGGATCTTGACGTTTGGATATGCACAGGTTTCTGGGAATATCCGAAGAATCTGGTCATCTCGCACAGCTGAGAAATCCCCCAAAAACGAAAACATTCATCATCAGTATCATGACCGCCTCAACGTTATCCAGAGACAGTACAAAGAGATTCCATGGTGGTGGTATGCTACTCTATTCTCGGTGGCCTTTCTCATTCTGATAATATTCCTCGCACTCGGACATCTCTTCATCCCAATCTGGACCTTGTTTGTGGCACTTGCGAGTGCTGCCGTCCTGGTTATCCCATTTGCTTGGCTTTACGCCATCTCCAACTACCAGCTTGAGACTGGCTCTTTCAACGAACTTATGTACGGCTACATGGTCCACACAAAAGCCGGCTCGGGACACCAACACCCCTGTGGCCCTTCTGTCTATGGGTCTATCGCGGGAGACGCCTGGTATCGTGCGCAGTATATGCTCCAAGACCAAAAGATTGGTCACTACATGCACATTCCACCCCGCGCGGTTTTCTTCTCTCAAATTTTCGGCACTTGTATGGGTATTCCAATCAACTATGCCGTCATTCGTTGGATCATGGACACCAAAGGAGATTATCTGACTGGCAAGAAAACGGATCCACTGAATCAATGGACAGGACAGTCCCTACGGACCTCTAACACGATGGGAGTTCAGTACGCTATACTTGGTCCAAAAAGACTTTTTGCTGAGAAAGAAATGGCCGTGCTTCCCTGGTCATTCCTTATCGGGGCAGTGATTCCTCCTATCCTCTTTTTCTTCCACCGGTTCTTCCCCCGGCTTCGGATTGACTTGTGGAACGTCAGTATCTTTTTTGGAGGACTGGCAATGTTCTACGGTAACATCAGTACCGGTTACACATCTGCCATTATTGGTGGATATGTTGTAATGTACTGGGCTTACCGTCGCCATTTTGAGGTCTGGAAGCGGTACAACTACCTTCTTGCTGCTGCATTTGATGCTGGATTTAACCTCAACATGTTGCTTGTCTTCTTCTTTTTCGGAGCAGGCAAGCAAATTTCGATGCCAAAATGGTGGGGCAATAATGCAACCTCTGTGGAAAGATGTTTCGCTCTAGACAGCTGAGTTGCTTTCATGATTTGTTAAAAAAAACAGCTGATATAATGAGTTCTAATAATACAAAAGTTGTCTCCTCATATTTCACAAGTGCAGACAGAAGAAGCGCCCTAGAATGTTGTAGTATTGTGGGGCTAATGCTTGCCCACATAAAAATGGTAAGATAGGAGTATCTTGCTTTATGGGTAATCTCCATCAATTTGATTCATTCTGCTCTTTCAATTGATTTTCAGTTCTTAATCAGTCGGCACTGGAACTTGATGCCTCAGGGCAAGATTTGTCACGGGGCTCGATCACCTACCACAGCCAATCAGACCGCGAGGTTACCCTTACATGTTGTTTTGGTTCGAGTGGGAAGACCTTGCTTTGCAGACCGTCTTTTAAATTTCTCTTGCCCCCTTTCAACCAACCATCCTTCCTACAATTCTCCATCCACTCTAGACAACCCTCACTATGGCTGGCCAGGCGACCATTTCCAACTCCAACGAGGAAACCTTCGCCAAGGGCAAAGGCAAGGTTGACCCCACGCAAGATATGAGCATGGACGAGGAGAGCGAGTCAGAGAGTGAGAATGAAATCGTGAGTCTACAATTTATACGCCCACCTACTTCTTTCATGCTGACTTTTTTGCGTGTTACTAGGCCGACAATGGTATGTACCCCCCACTATCACCCAAGCAACCCAAGTCTGAATGACGACATGCTCCAGAACGACCATCAACTGCCTCTATACTGACTTCTTTCTGTTCCTAGATGAAGAGGATGACACACAAGATAACCTCAACGACCCCATCGATCAAAGCAACATCATCCAGGGTGGCCGACGCACGCGCGGCAAGGTCATTGACTACTCTAAGATCTCCACAGATGAGATGGAGGATGACGACGATGATGATGAGGAATACGAGAGCCGTGAGGATAACCAGACCAACGACGATGATGATGAGATGCGCGACTAAGCTCGATGAATTCAAAACTCCCGGGTGGCATGGAATTGCTTTAAACGATAGGCGCCACGGATCGGTCCATGATGTTTTTTGCTTTCGCGTGTGTCCATAAGATGTCTCGCAATTCTGTGATGACAATGAATCAATGAATCTCTCTTCGGTTTTCTTTTATTTCCAGCCCCGTTAACATACAATCCATTGACTATGGGTTGGCTGATGTTCAGCGTATGATGGTGTTATTTGTAGACCAAATGGATATGTCTAGGGTAACAACCTGGCAACAAGCAAAACTTTGCCCATTGCGTTCTATCATGACCAAAATGACAATAAACAGATTCCTACGCAAACCAGACCTGCTGTGTACCCTGCGTGTCGATTTCCAATACATGGGCTATCACGTGCTGTTTGGCGAATGACTACGCTATGGCCACCTTGATGTTTTATCTCCGCAAGCATCGAGGACTACACAGTGATCGGCTTGGATTTTGACCCTTGCGAAATGCTCAATTGCCGTTGAATGACTGATCGACTTGCATTTTGTGTCCTTCCTCTTCCTCTATCGGTAACTATAGCCACATTCCACGACCGTCATGGCTTCACGGTATAGTCCCACCATTCATCTCTCGGTTCACAATGGACTGTCCTTCAGTTGACTAATACAGTAGGTAATCTAAATAGATTTCCACGTCAACGTGATCCACGCGCCTCTTCATCTCTCTTCGATCAATACGGTGGCGACTCTCGCCAAGCCAGTAGATCGCCTGCCCAACAACCAGGTGGATACGGGTACGGAGGCTTCTCCAGCCCAGCACCTAATGGTTATGCAAGTAGCGGTGCAGCTGGAGCGGGATACCAGAGTGCATCGCCGGACAAAAAGTGGGTTGAATGGCTCATATTCTTTTGAGACCGCCCGTCAATCTTCGGACAATGTATGCATAGCTGCTAATAAAAGCTTTACCATAGGGGACATTACTCCGATGCAGTTCTCTCATCTCTCGAGTCACAAAATGATATCGAAGTCGAGGGTATCAGTGCCAAAGTCAAAATGTTGAAGGATGTAAGAAGTACTTCCAGGCCTAACGAAAGCAGAGGTAGTCGTTTGAAATGACACAACACTGACATGAAAACCATCTAGATCACACTTGCAATTGGCGATGAAATCCGAGACACCACACATATAACTGATCTCAACGATTCGTTCGATAACACTCGAGTCCGACTACGCGGGAATATGAACCGCATGCTTCGCATGGCCGAGAGCACCGGCATCGGCTGGCGGGTCTGGCTCGGCTTCATTTTCGCCGTCTTCCTCCTGTTCTTTTATGTGTGGATATTCTAAACGTATACCCTTGCCGTCTCTGTATGACGTGCACTCACGCTCTATGCCATGTCGATTACGCCCGCCTTTCTCGTTTTAATCATCTCTAATCTCTCAACTTCACGCAAAACTCAGCGACTTGCTTTTTTACTTGATCTCATATGGATCGAGTCACGCACATGACTTATCAGCATCTTCAGCATGGTAATCTTGGCTTTGGCGCTATGAGGTGTTATGGGACTACGGATTCTTTGAGCTATGTATATGCAAACCCCTGCCTGGTCATGATCTCCGGGGATAATTCAACAAATTTGTCCAATGTGATACAAGCTGCCATGCTGCCACCAAAACTCCGAGGCTGATGTCTATCTTTCCTGCCGACACCAATTGCCGTAGAAGAAATTGAACAATTATAGCAGTCGTTATGGATTGCCTCTCTAATTCAAACTATCCCTGGGCCCACCGATGTGCCGCGGGAACCTTCTCGCAAACCCGTTTCGTCGACTGCCCTGACTGGTTATGGATGCACGCAGGTCTTCGTCGCTGTAAAGCATGCTGCTAGAATCAAATGCATCACCACCACCGCTCCAGCGATTGATGAAACGGCGCTGGGCTTCGGTCTCGGGCTCGCGGCGCAGAGTCGGAAGTGGAGGTAAGCCGCCACGACTGTTTGGCGTGCTAGTGCGGAAGTTCTCGGCAAACCTTGTTTGAATGATGCTGGGTTCGTTTTCCTCTTCCTCATCACTCAGCTCTTCTTCGCTGTCTGTGTGCTGCCATTCCCCTTCTTGCTCCGAGCCTTGCTCTGCGGCATCAGGGATATCATCGTCGAGATCGCGCGTCATGCCTTCACTCACACTTTCACCGTCGGCGGTAGGTATCTCCACATCCAGATCAGGCTGGTTATCAAAATCATCATCGTCGTCATCTTCATCATACAAGCCTGAGCCCTCGTAGTCATCATCGGGGAAGCCTTCAGGGATGTCATCATCCAAGTCACGCTCCATGTATTCTCCTTCATCGCCAATGTCATCTTCCTCAAGTCCCTCTTCGCCCACCTCGATAAGACCTGAGGCCTCCTCCTCCGCGTTGGGGATTTCGTCATCCAAATCGCGTTCCATGCCTTCGTCCTCTTCCATTTCCCCTTCCTGCATCCCTATATCATCATCCATAATTCCTCCTCCCTCTGCAGCTTCCATCTCAGCTGCAGCTGCCTGCAGGGCCTCTTCGCGCTCCGCTTCCTCCTCTTTCATTCCCAGCATTGTCTTCGCACATCCCGCCGGCCTGATCCATGAATATCCAAACGATGCGATGTTCAATTTTCGAGCGCGTAGCGAGCGTTCTTCCGCTGCTAGTGTGGCGATCGTGTTGGCAGAAGAACGAGATGGCATTACTGAGCGATGATTGCTGGACATGCCACTGGCATTGCGTCGAGCAAGGTGGTTTGCAGCGGAATTGTCGCCAGCTTGCTGATTCGAGGTAGAGGGGTATGGTTGAGAAGATCCGAACCAAAGTTCATGGGACTGCGAAGTTGTTAGTTCCCTCCGGTGCTGTATGAGAAGCTTGAGTCGCTAGAGCCTGGCACTTACGTCACGCGGAGTGATGGATGAAAGGGTGAGCATCACTGCAATTGTAGTTTCAATTCCAGATTTGGGAATACTCTAGTGTCTCTAAGGCTATTCTGGTGTTTCTGCTGATAGAGCTTCGTGGGGATGGCCTGTTGCAGATGCGGCGCTTCGTAGCTGTACTCCGAAATCGCGGTTTGTTTATGCGGCGAGTTGGGTGGTCACTTATGCTAGGAATTCACGACACGTGTGAAGTTTAGTCCTTGGAATGCGGGGGAAATATCAAGAGAAGCAGTTGGAGATGTCAATTTAGGCGCAGGATATCATCAAAGGTCCGGGAAAGCGCGCAGAAAAGGCCAGAGCTTCACAGCCAATCAATTCATTTGTGCGGGGGATTCCCCCCAGCCCTATACACACCTAGGTGCTCTCTGTGTGATGCTTCAATTTACGATACTCAGAGCTCAGTATCGTAAATAGCTATAGACAACACACTGTAGGGATGTGATGATCAGTGTGGCTTTTTGTCTGAAATCAATAAGCATGGCTTCAATCTTAAGGCTAGTTAGCAATGCTTTCGCCTCCAACAACACACCCTAGTCAATAATGGATCTGGCCTTTCCCTATTCCAACCCCTTGGCTACAGGCATTGCATATGTACTCCATACTACGATGCATAAATCTAGCACTAGCTATATTGTAGTGGAGATGTGAGGACTCGGCTACTTCCTAACATGTTCATTATTTCGCGAAGGTCCACCTGGGTCGAAATCCAAGACCTCTCAAGACCTGGATACAGGAAGTGAGAAGATGCTTCGCTGGTCTTCCAATTGCGATGCCCTCGAGAAATTTCGATGTTTTCAGGTTATACCCTGGGAGAAGTGGGATGTTAGGATAATCCAAAAGATATGCAATGATCAAGGAAGCTTCTTGAGTGTGATTCGAGTGATAGTATTTCCCCGGAATCATCCGATGCTAGTAACCCGGTGAACCCAAGGACAAGAGGACCGGGAAAAGTCGGGCTGATGATGTAAGCCTTTTGAAATCATGACGCTGCTTCTGACTTTCGGACTTTAATTGGTGGCACTGCAAAGGCGGGGATCATGTGATATCCACACTTTGGTTCTGGGGTTAAACTGGCAAGGTCTACCCCGTATACCAACCACAGAGGACATAGTCTGCCAATTGTAGAACCACAAAGGATACAACATAAGAGATCGACGGATTGTAATGGGTAGCCAGCTAGGCGAACCAGAAGAAAAAGATTCTTGGGGAAACTATGATCATCTACTCCGTACCTGATCTTCACATATCTAGACGGATCACTTTCCTCCGGCCTTTAATTTTATTCCAAGTTCTACGATGGGGTAAAGCAAAGGTTGGAATGTAAAACATGGGGAAGCATGCATTCCGATCAATTGTAATCCGGAGAGGCCCGAATCAACGGGTAATTTGGACAGAACCGTGATAAGCAAGATGACCTCCAAAGAATGGGTTATCCGCAAACGGGTCAGGGCCCGAAATCGGGCTCTGCATTTTAGTGCAAGCGAAGAAGGTGGAGAAGGAAAACTCGGGACGGGGAAACTTGGCCGTTGTCGGAATGTCTGTATGGAGAAGTACGGAGTACCGTTACAGGTATTAAGGTATTACTCCATGGATCTATGTCTGATGTCTAACCTATTCTCCTTTTACTATCATCTCTTTTCGATGTGAACATGAATTTTTAAAGATTTCCTGATTTGAGATCTGGGACTTTTTCTTTTTACGTTTCAATCTAACGTTTTTTTTTTTTTCAACAAAGTACTTTTTCAGGTTCTTCTGCAGCGAGAAATGCCAGACTAAATGCAAACCGGCGGCTCGAAACCAAATGGATTAAGCACTACATCTTGGCCCCACTAGGGGAGTGTGGCCCATTCACCCGGATCTCCCACTCTCTCAACCTGCGAGGATTGCCTTATTTTTAATACGAAATCATGTACGGAGTACGGAGTACGGAGTACTTTGTATGTGTCCAATGAGCAGCTCTAACCTTTTTAATGGGTCTGTGGACCTTATGGGGCCCAGTCCACTGGACCTTGTTTTTCTTTTGAGCTTCCGGGGGGAATCGAGAAAGAAGGAAGGTGAGGTATAGAACATAGTATAGACCTTCATGAGATTTAATCATTAGGATGTAATCTACATATAGTAGAATGTGTCTAGATCGGTTTAAGATCGGACATATAAAAAAGTTCAGTTAATGTACGGAGTAGTCCACATTGGAAAGAGCTAACCCTGGATTGTAAAAGCTTCACTCTGATTGGTCAAGGGATGCTTATCTTGAAATGATTTGCACTCCGTAATCATAATGAGGATCAGGGAATGCTACTGTTTCCGTCGTCTCTACCTTGAACTTGGCATATAATGATGTTCACAGTAGAGAACTTCTGGCACATTGGTGTTGTAGCATATTAAGTAGTATATTATGTAGCATAGACCATGTAGCATGTAGCAGGTTTCACTCTTCTCAAATTTCTCTCACTGAATATTCCCTTCCCGTGTCTCTTGGCTGCTTTTCACCTACCAATTTGCCACGGTAAACTCCCCACCATTGTAATTTTGCCCTCTTTGGGTACATCGGGGCTTGCAATCCCCGGACCTACTGTCCCGCCGTAATCGCCCATCTCCTTTTTTTTCCCTCTCTCCCCTTCCCTTTCATTCTCTGATTCTCCTTTTAACCTCCTTCGCCCCTCTTCTATCTTCAACTCTTTCGCAGAAGCTGGGTGATCATTGTCACTTTGGTTCCTCTCTCGCCCGCGCTACAACACCCTGTGACGACATCGCCGTCAACCCCAAAATCGGTGGGGCCCTTCCTAGAAACAATCCCCTTCAGTTGCCATTCCATTCTCTGTCGGCTCCCGGCGGAAGAATGGGTCTTAACTTGGAAGAGCTCTATGGCAAAGATATAAGTGAAGAACAGGCCCCTCCAGAGTATTCTCAGTATCAACCTAAAAAGGGTTATGGCTGGGCCAATGCTCTGCCAGAGCGGCAAGGTCTGTACGACCCCGAATATGAGAAGGATGCCTGCGGTGTAGGCTTTGCAGCGTGAGTGAAATTCCCCAAGACTGGCCAATTGGAAACCTGAGGACTGTCCTAATTCTGACGGAAACCCCAGTCACATCAAGGGAAAGCCCAGCCACAAGATTGTCAGTGATGGTGAGTACTAGTTTTCTGCTCTTTGACAGGTCAATGTTAGAACAAATGAAGCTGATGGGCAATTGAACAGCTCGCAATCTGCTGTGCAACATGACCCACAGAGGAGCC